CCAGCTCCTGCCCTTTACAGATTATTTATAGCGTCTCCCCTGTGAGACCTTGTATCCACTGGGCCTTAGTCTCGCACTCCAACAATGTGGTCTCTCTCCACTGCAGGCACTTAGGGAAGCCCAACGAAGCCCTGAAATTCCTGAACAAGGCCCGCAAGGACAGCACTTGGGGACAGAGTGCCATCCACCACATGGTGCAGATCTGCCTGAACCCGGACAAAGAGATCGTGGGCGGGGAGGCTTTAGAGAACCTAATGGCGGAGAACACGTATGGCTTCCTCCGGGCTGCGCAGGCGGGAGGTTGCTTCTGGAAGAGGAGGGGAGCCCCTGCAGCCGGTGGGCCAAGGCTAGGGCTGAGGCTGGCGGCTTCCTGACTCGGCGTCCCACGATGCCCGCAGGACGTCCGAGAAGAAGGACCCGGAACAGCACGGTGGCGTGCGCACGGCGGAGAAGCTGCTGCGTGAATGCTACCCGCACTCTGCCATGGGCCAGGCCCAGCAACGGCTGCTGCAGGGCCTTTGCCTAATGGCCACGAGGGAGAGGGGCAACGTGGAGGAGGCGCTGAACACCTTCATCCACATGGCCCAGGCTGAGGTGCGTCTGCTCGCAGGGAGGGGTTGAGTCTCATGGCAACCCCTCGCAGGTGGAGGGGTGGTGGGCCAGTGCCACGCCACACCTCCGCCTGCTTCCCACCGTGTGCAGAAGAACAACGCGGCCGCCCTGCTGGCCATGGCACAGGCCTACAGTCTCCTGAAGCAGGTGCCCAAGGCGCGCACGCAGCTGAAACGTCAGGCCAAGGCCCCGTGGACGCCGGCGGAGGCAGAGGACCTGGAGAAGAGCTGGCTCCTGCTGGCAGACATCTACTGCCAGGGCGGCAAGTTCGACCTCGCCTCCGAGCTGCTGCGGCGCTGCGTGCAGTACAACAAGGCGAGCGAGCACCCTGCGTCACGTGGAGGGCGTGAGGGGGGCCGCATGGAGGCGGGGCCGGAGAGCGCAAGGGCACGGGAGTGGGGGGGGTGGGGGGCGGAGACAAAGGAGACCCCGGTGAGGAACAAGTGCTCAAGAGTCAGGGAGGGAGGGGATAATGGGTACCGGAAAAAGGGATCATCGGCACTGGAGTCAGAGCAAGAAGGGGAGATGATCTCCCGGAGGTGGGTGCACGCGCGTGCGTGCACCCCAGGGGAGAACGAAATGGGGGCGAGAGAGGGGACCTGTAGGGTTCAGGGGGTGTCCCCCTGGTTAGAATACAAGGAATGAAGAGAAAGGGCTCATGCATGGAGGGAGTGGGGGCTAGAGGAGGGCGCAAAGGTACAGGGTGACGGAGGTCACGTGGGAGCTCCACCTTTTGCAAAGGTGGTGACTTGTGCCTGGGTGAAGGAGGTTTGGGCCAGGGCAGCTCACCTGCTCCTCGCCACGCCCGACCCCGCCCCTCCGCTGGGAGCTGGGCGTAGCTTCTCCTGGTGGCTCTGACGCCCTTCCCTGCAGTCCTGCTGCAAGGCCTATGAGTACATGGGCTTCATCATGGAGAAGGAGCAGTCTTACAAGGATGCTGCCGCCAACTACGAGCTGGCCTGGAAGCACAGCCATCACACTAACCCCTCTGTGGGTAAGGCAGGGGCCAAGGTGTGTCTGGGTGGGCGGGAGAGGGTAGCAGGCACCAGGACCCACACACTGAGGCCAGAACTCAAGCCACGGAGCCTGGCCGCCCTGGGAAGCAGAGAGGCACCGCGAGTCGTCAGGCACCCACCATTTCTGTTCTCACCTCTGCATAGGCTTCAAACTCGCTTTCAACTACCTGAAGGACAAGAGATTCGTGGAAGCCATTGACGTCTGTCACCGCGTAAGCCGCCATCAGCCACTGCTGGACACCGGGAGGGAGGATGCCAGCCTTCAGCCTGGCCTGACGCTGCCGCGTTCTTTTTCTCTCCCTGCCCCAGGTTCTCAGGGAGTACCCCAACTACCCCAAGATCAGAGAAGAAATTTTGGAAAAGGCCCAAGGATCTTTGAGGCCTTAGCGGTTGTCCGTGGCCAGGAGGTTCGGCAGCCTCTGGGGTCAGAGAGGGCTTGGCTGGAGGCTGTCAGCCTGCAGAAGTATGTCCTGGGTGCCGTGGAGAAGGGATTCAGTAAATGACATATTCTTCCCCACACCCTTGTTGCATGCGGTTTAGTTTGAATTCATGCCGCCTCTGGACCGAGGGGCAGCCCAATGCTATATATTTTAAAGCCATAAGAGGTCATTTTGCTCTGGGGGAGAAAGAAATCTGTCTGCACAACTCCTACCGGGCCCTGTGGGAGAGAAGACAGAGGGGCTCCCTAGTGGTTGGTAGCTTTAAAAACAAAGCCCCAAACTTACAGCTATTTACACACTGTTACTTCGGCTCATAAATGCCTCTCTCCTCTGTCTGGCCCAGTATCTTGGAACTAAAGAAGCCACCAGGCTGTCCTCGCTGGCTGCGGGCCCAGGAGGTTGTGGGCCCTGGGCCCAGACAAGGAGGGCCAGATGCAGAAGGCCCTGTGGATGGGCCCCATGTGTGAGCATGCCCATCCCCCTGCAGGTTGCCAAGACCACTGCCCCACCCTCCAGACACCGTCTGTCTGCCCCAAGTCTTTAGCCGACCACCACTGGTCCTCACTGGTTTGGGGGCCACCCTGGTGACACTTGTCTGGTGCAAGGAAATATATTCCAAGAAAAACGACTCCCTGCTTGAGCTCTTGCAGCAGATACAGGCCCGAAAATTCATTCTCCAGAAACCCTTTTATACCATCTACAAGGGGAGCAAGCAGGAGGAGCCCTGGTGGCAGAGTGGGTTGCTTGTTGTGCTATGATCCGCAAGGTCGGCAGGTCAAAACCACCAGCCTCTCCGAGGGAGAACGATGGGCTTCTACTCCTGTGAAGAGTTAGTCTCGGAAACTCACAGGGGGTAGTTCTACTGCCCTGTCCAGTATGATCACGATGAGTCAGCACCGACTTGATGGCAGTGAGTTTAAGGGGGCAAACACGGCAGTCCCCATTTAGGTGGATAATGTTCATTGTAGCTGGCAAGGGTGGTGACTGTGGCCCCTTTCCCAGGCTGCCTCCAGCACTTCTTTTTCAGGACAGCCCACTGTCTGGACCAGGCTCCCCTATCAGGCCTAGGAACCCCCATGCGACATGCCCCACCTCTGGCTCTCAGTGTCCCCACCAGGACACTGAGATGTGCCAGGGAATTAGAGTTGACCCTGTGATCCCAAATGCTGGCCCCAATCTCTGTGAGAGAAAGCCAGCAAACATCTGAAAAGCTTATTATCGATGTGTGTGTATGCCTTTTTTTTAAGGAACTAGATTATAAAAATTACTCATGAGGTCATGGGTACCACTGGGCAGGCTGGGCCCCAGTGTAAGAAGGACTGAGTGTGGTGTGGGGAGAAGGCTGATGCAGGGCCTTGGCCATGAGCAGCCAGTTTGGGAGCAGTGCCTGAGGACGGACGGATGGGCCCCTTGGGGACCCGGGCTGCTGTGCCATGCTTGGATAGCTTACCGCTGCTCCCAAGCACAACTGCGTGGTGTGAGTCAGGGATCTGGAATGCTTCCCCCACGTACTACCATCCTTCCTAGAGGAAAATGCAGTCCCCTTGACAGTGAGCTGCTTTCCAGTCCAGTTAGTGGCTTGGGCTGGGTGGTATAGAGCAGAAGGTCTTGTCTGCGGCGAAGCCCAGGGTTCAGACAGCTGGGTCTAGGAGCTGCTGCTCTAAAGGGCTTGAAACCCAAAGTCATCTCCTTGTATCTCAAGAAAGCAAGCCAGCCAGCCAAGCAGTGAGTGACTCAGTTGCCCAAGACGGGGAGGAGGCCGGCCTCAGTCCAGCCATGAGCTGTGTTCTTGGGATAGTAGCTATAGAAGCTTCTCCCCAGGGCTTGAGAGTAACTGGGGGCTGCTACTCAGAGCTCAGGTAACAGAGCCCCCGCCAGAGCCCTTGAGGAGGCCCATGTTTTAGACCATGCACGCTGACCAAAGAGCAAGGAGACAGGACATCTGAAGGTACCAAGGGGCCTCTAGAGATGTTGCCCCAGCACAGGACAGACTGGCCACCAGTCTTCCTTCCAGTGGCCACTGACTGTGGTGTGTGGTCACATCCAAAGACAGGAGAGGCCTGAATGTGACAAACCTAGCCAAAAAAAACATCTGAGACCAGAGTGAAGACGCATACAGGCCCCACCCACTCCCCAGTACAGGCTCCAGGCACCCTTCTCCCCTGGGCTTCCCGTAGACAACTTCCGTCACCTCTCTGGGGCAAGCAGCAGTTCTCCAAAGTCAGACCCAGGCAGAGGGCAAACCATGTCACAGGGCCCTCAAAGAGCTGGGATTTGGACCCAGCTGCGTGCCAGCTCCCACCCAGGAAGTCACCCTCCAAACAGAGGAAATAAAGGGCGCCCAACAGAGGCAGGGAATTCAAGTGAGAAAAGGCTACCCCGAGTTTGCTCTGTTTTTCTTGATCCCCCTCCAAGACGTTCCCCTGCCAGGTCACACATAAATCATTATCCCTGGGGTCCAGGGTGGGGCAGTCAGCCTTCAGGCCTCCCCCACACTAGGATTCCCTGCAGCAGGGAGTCTGGGCCCACAGCCAGGCCTCCCTCCCAGGTGGGGACAGGTCAGGCAGGTCTGGCTGGTGCAGATGGATGAGGGCCTGCAACTTCCAGTGCTCAGGTCCCCAGGGAGCACAGCTGCAGAAGACCAGAACGCGTGCCAAGCCTCCCCAGCCAGAGCCACGTCCCTGTGCCTGCCTGCCTGCCCGGCCCCACCCAGGCCATCCTGGGGAGGAATGGGTTAATCACAAAGGGGCAGCTTCCTCCTCCCAGCCTGCAAAGGGAAAGCAGCTCCCATCTGCCCAGCCAGCCTCTCCCCACTGGCCGCCTGCCTGGGAGATGACTGCAGCGGGGAAGGGGCGGGACACCGGACCCAGTGTGTTATCACCCTCACTCCCACCTCCACCCCAGCCGGAGGATCCCCTGTGAATCCACCCCATCCTGCAGGCCCCTCTCTCCCCTTTCCTCCCGACTCCCTCTGGAGGGGGCACCCAAGCCCCAATCCCACAAAGACAGACCACACAGGTTAAGAGAGCCTTTTTACTGGCACCCCCAGGTTCAGGTACAAGGCGTTCCCAAGAGCACACAGCCTGGTGAGGCCTCCTGGGCAAAGGGGGCAGGGCAGAAGGTGATGGGGCAGGCCCAGACCCTGGGCTTCTTGGTACAGACACAAAGAGAAATGAATAAATTATAGTCCCGACACTCGGGGGGACAATATGGAAATTATGATATAAAACCTGACGAGAAAAGCATAAAAACCCTACGGAGCCAGCCACCCCTCACCCTGGTTGCCTGGCCTCAGGGCATGGGACAAGGGGCACAGGCTGTACTATGTATCCAAAGCCCTGAGATGGCGGGTAGGGCCCCCTCTGGGCCCTAGCCCCACCACTGGGGCTGTAATGAAGTGGGGATGGGGCAGAGGACCGGAAGCACAGGGGGCTGGGTCAGGGTGGGGGGTGTTGTTTTGGTCACGGTTGGTCGGCCCAACTGGGCCCCACCCCTGGTCCAGGCTGCCCCCCGCCGCCCCGCCCCCAAGCCAGGAGAGGCCAATGCCACCCCCATCTCCCAATAAATTACAGAAATAAATTAGTCTTTTTACGTCCGGAAGAGCAACGGGAGAACCCTGCCTCACTACCTCTGGGTGCTGAAGCATCCTACAAGGGCAATGAGGGGGTCCTGCCAGCCGAAGGGTGCTGCTTGGCTAGGCACCAGGAGGACGGCCGGAAAGGGAAGGAGCCCCCACCCTCGGCCTACTCCTCAACTCAGAATGCTTTAAAAAAAATAAATTAATCCAGAGTGGGCAAAACCCATGAGTTCCCAGGGACTGCTACAGAGGCCCTAGAGGAACCCCGCCCAACCCCCATATTACATAGTGGGGTGGGGGTTGGGGGGATGACCACAAGTAGCCGCAGGGCGCTCCAGGCTGGGATTGCTACACGGGCACCGGCTCCATCAGAGAGGCCGGGGCAAGGTCCTCCAACAACTGGCCGTCAATGAAGGGGGCCAGGGCCTCCCCGGTGGGCTCTGGAAAGCCCACGAAGGGCTCAAAGCAGGTGCCCATGTCCCTGGGCGGGGAGAAGCCAGGCAAGGGGAAGTAGGGCGTCTCGAAGGCGTCTAAGCTGTCAGCCCCCTTCCGGGAGGTATAGAGGGGGCCGAGGCTGTAGTCTGGCAAGGCCTGGAGCAGCTCGAAGGAGTCGCTGGATGACAAGCTCAGGTCCACTGAGCTGCCCTGCCCGGCGTCCACGCTGGCCGGCCCCGGGGTGCCGGGGAGGCTGGCATCCTTCAGGCCTTCGGGGCCACCGTTCAGGAAGCAGCCGGCATCCAGGTTGGCATTTTCATCCAGGACAGCCAGTTCGAGGCCAGAGCCGGAATAGCCGTGAGTCCAGCTGGCCAGGCTACCAGGGTCGCCCGTACTAAAGATGTCACCCAGGTGGAAGCAGCTGAGGTTGTCCAGGCTCCCCACGCCCCCTTCCGCCTCCTCCCTGCCAAGATCAGAGTCACTGAAACTGAGGATCTGCACCAGGTGGTCGTCATCCAAGCCAGGCTGGAAGCCAGGGCCAGGCAGGAATGGGCGGGCAGGGCTGCCAGGGGACTCGCCAGTGCCCGACCCCGGGGACAGTGCCTCGGAGGAATCAGTCATGTCGCTGCTGCTGCAGCTGCTGTCCCCTAGCTCGCCGCTGGTCGGGGGCTTGGCCAGTGGGAACAAGGGGGCCGGGGCCTGCTCGCTGGCGTGAAGGGGGCTGCCCTGGGCAGGGGGCTCCAGCTCCCCAAGGCTCTGAACGCCCTGCTCCAGCTGCAGGCGGGTCAGCGTGTGGATGAAGTGAGTGTGGACACGCTCCTGGTTAAACTCCACTCGGCCCTTGGGGTTGTGGCAGCGCTCCTTGCAGCAGCCACAGGGGAACGCAGTGTGGTCCATCTGCAGGTAGGAGATCGAAGTGAAGGTTCCGTGGAGCCTGAACACGCCCCCAGGCCCAGGCTGCCTGCGCAACTCCGTCCCAGGCCGGCCTGGACCCCTACCCGCCCCCTCGTACCTGGCACTTGATGCCTGCCAGGCTGCAGCTGCAGGTCTCGGGGTCGCAGACCTGGTCGCAGCGGCAGCCGCAGTCCTCCCGGGATCGGCGCAGGGCCTGCAGCTCCCGCTTCTCCGCGCGGTCGATCTTGCGCACCCCAGCGGCCCGCAGCAGGGCCCGCCGGCGCCGGGAGGGGTAGGGTTGGAGGAAGGTCCCCCCCTCCAACTGGCCCCCTGCCACGGCCACTGCCAAATCCTCTTCCACAGATGCATCGTCAATGGCGTCCACCGTGAGCGGCAGACCTGCTTCTGCTTCCGACATTCCGGTGGCGGAAAGCTGCAACCCATGGGAGAAAGGATGTGAGGACCCGGCCCCTCCAGGGCACGAGCAGAGAGGCCTTCTATTCATGCCGCCAAGCCCTTCCTTGCCCCTGAGCCAAGCAGGTACACCCAAAGCCTCATCAGCCCCACACCTCTCTTCCCAGTATAGCGACCAGCAACCGGGTACCACATGGGGCCAGCCCCTGCCACAGACAGACATGAGCCCTTACAGGGTGCTTCTCAGTCTGCAGGGAATTCCAGACCCACACCCCCTCCCAAATCCACTGCAAAAACATCAGCACCCGACCCTGCTGCTCCCGCTCCCCAAGGGCAGGCCAGGGAGGGGGTGCCTACCTTCCACTGGAGCACCTCCAGCTTCTCCTCCTTCAAGCGCTGTCGGAGCTTCTCACGCCGTGCCAGGGCCTGCTCCTGGCTGAACTCGGCCAGGGAGAAGCGGCGACAGGCACTGTGGCGGGCGGCCATGCCCAGCGTGCAGCCCCCACGGCTGGGCACGCTGGTGAAGCCCTGGCACCGAGGGAAGTAGAAGACAGTGATTCCATCAAAAGTGACGCGGCCTGGGCGGCTCCGGCGAGCCCGCTTCAAGATGGACGGAGCTGCAAGCAGGCAAGGAAGGGACAGGGGATCAGTTCTCTGGGAGCATCAAACAGCATCCCAGAACGACACCCCAAATTCCTCTCTCTCTACACACACACACACACACACACACACACAACTAGATGTGAGCTCAGGGCTCAGGACCTCTGGCCAGGGCTGCGGCTGGTAATATTGAATACAACACCCAGGACCACACTGGCTGACTAGCTACAAATGCCAAGTGTTTGCACCATTAAGCACCTTTCTTGCTATGAGCCATTTATAGGATTCTTTTTCCATGAGTCGCCCTGGTGGCGTACTGGTTTAAGCTTTGAGCTGCTTCATCGCAGGGTCTGCTGTTCAAAACCACTAGCTGCTCTGCAGGGGAAAGGCGAGGCTTTCTCTTCCCGGAAAGCGTGACAGTCTCAGTGACCCACGGGGGCACTTCTACCCTGCCTGACAGTGTCGCCATAAGTCAGAATCTAATGGGTGACAGCAAGTTTGTTTGTTTTGCATGGTTTTTTTTTATTACCGTTGACTGGCAGGATCCCTTTGTAATAGGCACAAGATTAAACCCAGCTACCTAAGTGAATTCCCTTAAACAGTGTAAAATGTGTTTCTTACATTCTCAAATCCACCCTCTGCAAATCATGGCACCTCGGCCTGTGTCAATCTCCAACATATATTCTTATCGTCTCTGCTCAGAGAGCTGACTCGCACTTCCTGGGCACCGGAAGTTAGGCAGTGATAAAGACAGAATCTGGGCTTGCTCCTGACCTACTGGGAGTGTTCCCAGGATTTCCTCCTTAATCAAAATGAGCTCTGGGGTAGAGATGTACTTTTTTTTTAAGATGTACTTTAAAGATAATTTTTTTAAAAAGAAAAAGATGTTGAAGTAGCATCTCCTGCCTTATCTATCCAAAGGTTTTATCCAGAAGGGAGATTTACAGCTTACCAAATAGTCTTTCTACGTGGTTTTTTTCCCTTTGCATAGAAAGTGCACACTCCCTACCACCGAGTTAATTCTGACTCAGAGTGAGTGAGGCCCTTGGTAGTACTTCCAGGGCTGTCCATTTTCCATGGGAGCAGACCACCTCATCTTTCTCACACGGCACCGCCGGCAGATTTGAACTGCCAACCTTGTGGTTTGGTCAGCAGCCTAATGAGGAACGCCACGAGGGCTCGGGGAAATGGATTATCAACAGGCCCACTGACGTTAAATCGACCTGGCACACACAGAACTTCTCCAGAGTTCCTGAAACTACAATCTTGATAGTAACAGACAGCCACAGCGTTCTCCCTCAGAGCACCTAGTGGGTGTGATTCGCTAACCTCGTAACCTCAAGGTTTGCACTCCACACCTAACCCACTGCACTCAAGTCCTTTATAAAGTGCGTGCACTGCATACATAGACAAGCCTCTCTGTGTGGTTACATTTTTATGAGGGAGGCGATTAGGCAAAAAACAAAAAAGTCTAAAAAGGCTTAGGAAGGGGCGATAATGAAACAAAAGGTTGAGAAACTCAGCTGGCTCTACTGGCCCTTCCTTGTCAGTTTGGCATCAGAATTGCGCAAGTTTGCAAACGACGATGGGAGGAACCTTTTTTTTTCCCACCAAGGCAGGCAGCTGAATAGCATTTGGACAGAGCGGGCCAGGCTCCCCAGCCTGAGGCAGGGAAGCACAGGGCCTGGGGTTTGGTTCTCAGTAGTATGGAAACTGGCACAGAAGGGAGGAGCTGGCAGGGGAGGACCCCTCCAGGGCCCCTCCAAGGAGCTCTGTCCTGTGTGTCATCGCCTCTGCTCTGGGAGCAGGCTGGGCCCCGGGGCTGCTGTGGACAGTGGGTGTCCCTGAGTGAGCCTCTATTCTGGGGCGTGCGCGGGGAGTGGCGGGCAGGAGTGCTGCGGCTCTGGGGCTCACCAGCCTCTAACTGCCTCTCAGGTGGGCTCGAGCCAAAGTGGGCATGGCAGGGAAGACTTACGGGTGAAATTTGGGACACCACAGGGGTCCCGGAAAGGCCTCCGGTACCAGGGGCCATCCGACTCCCAGTCCCAGGCCTGGGAAGCCGAGGGGCTGGGAGAGCAGGAGCCAGAGTGACATCCGGAGGAGGAGGAGGAGGAGGAAGAGTCCTCCTCCAGCTGGTCGAATTTCCTCTTCAGCAGCACTGCCATGCTGGTGCAGGGGCACTCCAGGGTCTGCAGACAGAACAAAAAAGGACACTCTTGGTCTGGGGTCCTTGGCCCTCATTTGTTACCCTTCATTGTGTCCCACGCCCACCCCCTCCCCCCAGCAGCC